TTGTTTTTTGAAATGGATAGTAGTTATCGAATTGACAGAAGTGGAAAGAAGAGTTGAGTTGTCCATCAGTTAGCTCAACTATCGAACATCCGATAAAACATTCAGCTTGAATAGTGCTGAAGATTGTATTGATATTAGCAAATTATAAGAACATATTTGAGAGATAACACTTTATTTATTATTAAACAAAAACTTTGCATAATGATGACACTACAAACAGAATGTTTCACTGCTCTGTAGTCCACATATGCTTGAATTAAAACTCATACAACGGAAAACACCTCGCTTATTAACCACACTATAGCTGAGTCGATGATCATAGCATTATTGTCTTGTTATTGTTCGATCTAATTATTTAGTTAGCGTTTATCGCGTGACCATGCGATCTAATTATTTGCTCAAATTGTTCCAAATTTTTCGCATAAATATTCTTTGGTTCACTACACCATCTTGCTGTATCCTGCTTTGCTTTATACAATCTCAAATTCCATTCTATGTACTTGCGTGTCTCATCTCTTACTCGATGTGGTGTTTTATCATTTCTGGTCGCATAAAAGGGTACTGTGTAGGTTACTAGTTGCAGATAAAGTACACACACATTATAGATGAAGCCTTGTTCTTTATTCCAATATTGTGATGACGGTGTTGTATAAATGGTATTAGTGATACATTGAGGAGAAAAAAAATATTTGTGGATTAAGTCCTGTTTCCACTTAGCATAAGGGAGTTTTTGCTTTTGTTTTTTTCGTTGAAGATTCTCAAACAGTTTTTGTGATGCAAATCGTACTTCTGCTTTAATTGCTGGATCTAGACCTGATACTGCATTTTGATATTCGCCATGGGAGTTGATGCGTTGCATCTTTGGACAGGATTTTTTGATTTCTGAGAAGATATCCTAGGCGAAAATAAACAATACTTCACAAAACCAGTGCCTCTTCTGACTCAAAAACCATACATGATAGCTAGAAACTTCTAATCTAGTGTAATCATGTAATCATAGTTTTCGCCGGCTGCTGCTTTCCCCATCAGTAGGGCGTCTTTTACACGGTGACTCGTGAAATACAAGCGTTTCATTTCATTTCCGTAATATCTTTTTGAGAGGAGAAGGAAGATTCCAGAAATTCAAACTTCAAGTACTATTTTATTTTTTGTTTATTTA